GCTATGGTTTAAGACCTCTGGAACAAGGATCAAGTAGCAGCACAACTAATAATGAAGCACGTGACCCTCGCCTCGGATCCCTTTTCCTGGAGGAAGATGAAATTGTTGGTATTAATGGTGCAACCGAGGAACTTATAGGAAGGTTGACTGGAGGACTGTCCATGCGCTCAGTGACTTCGTTGGTAGGTCAAGGGGGAATTGGTAAGACAACTCTTGCTAGGAAAGTCTACAATGATGAAGTTGTGAAAGCTCACTTTGATTGTCGTGCTTGGATCACGGTATCTCAGTCATACGATATGCAGAAGCTTTTGAGGATCCTAGCAAGGCAGATATGTACTGCAGGGGAGAGAATTGAGGAAGATTGTTCAGAGGAAGAGTTAATTGGTCTATTGAGGCAGCATCTGCAAACAAAGAGGTACATGATTGTTTTTGATGATGTATGGCAGAAAGAGTTTTGGAAAGATATAAAACATGCTTTGCCAAATAAAGATAAAGGCAGTAGGATAATTATCACAACACGTAATTTCACCGTGGCTAGTTTTTGTCGTGAAAACCCTTGTGATCTTGTCCATGAGGTACAAACTTGGTCCTCAGAAATGGCTTGGCAATTATTTTGCAAGAAGGCATTTCGAAGTGATGAGTTTGCAGGGCGTTGTCCCCAAGAGTTGGAGCAATTGTCTCGTGAGATTGTTAGCAAATGCCTAGGCTTGCCACTTGTCATTTCGACCATAGCTGGTCTTTTGTCAACCAAAGAAAGAGTCGATTCCGAATGGAGAAAGGTGCTTAACAATATTAGTTCAGAGTATCAAAGAACTGATATTACGAAAATTCTCTCCCTAAGTTATCTAGATCTACCTTACCACCTTAAGACTTGCTTCTTATATTTTAGCATCTTTGGTGAAGACCATAAGATTTCTGAAAGTACATTGTATAAACTATGGTCTGCTGAAGGTTTTGTTAAAGCAAGAAGAAACAAAACAATGGAAGACGTAGCCGAAGAATACTTAAATGAGCTCATCCAAAGAAACTTGGTTTTGTTTGAAATAGAATTTGGTGTTGAAAGAGTATGTAAAGTCCATGATCTGATGCACGATATCATCTTAACTAGAGCAGGTGAATTGTGCTTTTCTCAAACTATAAAAAAAAGTAACCTCAATCTTGTAGAAAACAGTTACCGCCTCTCAATTCATGATACTACAGAAAATGTCTTGGAAAGAGTTATGGATTCCAGCATTCGGTCGGTTTTTCTGTTTGACGTCAAGGAATGCACAAGGTCGTTCATGATTAATTTAGTTGAAAATTTTAAACTTTTGGAAGTGTTAGATTTTGCTGAGGTGCCTCTTGATGATCTCCCAAAAGAAGTGGGGAAGTTGTTCCACTTGAAATACTTGTGTTTATCAGGTACAAGGGTGAAAGTTCTTCCCAAATCTATTGGTAAGCTGCACAATCTACAGACATTGGATGCTAGGAACACCTTAGTGACGGCGCTACCGATCGAGATTACTAAACTAAGGAATTTGCGACACCTTCGCATTTATTCAATTGGTAAGAATAGCCATTCAGGTTTGAATACATATTGCGGTGTGAAGATACATGAAGGAATTGGAATGTTGGAGGAGTTGCAAACACTAGAGAAGGTGGAAGCATATCCTGATGGAGTTGGTTTTGTCAAAGAGCTGCAGAAGCTTAGGAAATTGAAACGTTTGGATATTTTAAAGGTGACAGCAGAAATGGGGGAGCCTTTGGGAGTTGTCCTTGAGAAATTGAACCACCTTGAGAGGTTAATTTTGACATCAATCAACGAGGATGAAGTTATAAATTTAAAATGCATTTCATCGCCTCCTCCTTTTTTGCGTTATCTCCAATTGAATTGTCGTCTAGAACAATTGCCAAATTGGGTTTCGGAACTTCATAATCTACAAGGATTGTCATTAAGTTACTCAAGGTTTATCGACGATCCAATGAAATGCCTCCAAGCGTTGCCCAATTTATCATACCTTCGCATGACATATGATGGAGAGGAATTGCATTTCCAGAAAGGTGGTTTTCAAAAACTCAAGCAACTTAAGTTTAACAAGTTGACAGGATTAAAGGTGGTTAAAATAGACGTAGGAGCACTGCCTCTTCTTGAAGAGTTTCACTTTGGGCGTTGTGCACTAATGAAGGAGATGCCTTCCGATATTCAACACCTTTCAAACCTCAAATCTTTCTCTATTCATGACATGCCAAGGGAATTTGTGGTTCGTTTGCAACCAGATGGAGGCATTGATTACTGGAAAATTCAGCATGTGCCTTCCGTCACCTTCCATTATTACAATCGTGGATACTACAAGCTTGGTAGCTCTGACTTGATACAACATCTGCAGCGGCAACATCTGACTTGATCAACAATGTCGAGTTTCGAAGGTGCACTCCTATAATCCTCTTTGTGGAAGTGTTTCTCCTTTGTCCTCTTTTCTCTCTTTATTTCTCTTTCATCTTCTTTTCTTTTTCTCGGTGTTTTTTCTTTCCAACAAAATCCCAACCATTATTTTAACGTTATGAAATCAAATTGAAAGCCATGTTTTTTCTAGACCATTTCAGGTAGTAACGACCCTAAAGCCTTGATATTTAGCTCACCAATTGCATTGCAAAGTTGAAGATAAGAATATTGCAACGCTTGTTACATTCTTCAAAATTACTTCTAAGTTCTCTCCTTTTTGTATGAAACTCGATGTTTAATATTTCTATAAGAGTTGTTGAATTTTCTAGACCTTTTTTTTTTGTCATCAAATCAATACACATTTCTTGATATGAAAATTGATTCACTGACCAAGATTAGTCAACTTTTTGTTGTCTGTTAAATTTAGCAATTAACTGGTTCTACAATGTCCCCATATAAATATGAGTGTTCTTTATTTTATTATACTTTTAAGAATTCAGTTTAGAAACCTATCTGGTACATTGCACTTGGATACAATAGTTTTCTACAAGATTGTTCTTCTTAAGACATTTGCAAGCCCAAGTCGAAAATTTATTTTGGATTGTTTCTGTTCAGCTCATACTTCTCTTCCTGGAACTGTGCGAAAGGAGCCTGAAACATTGCTCATGAACAAGGCAGGGGAGTTTTCTGTTCTTTTCAGTAAATGTGTGGACTTTGGAAATTAATTATTTTCAGTTTGATGTTGTCATGAATATGAACTCCTATTTTTCTTTTATTTTGGTATGCATTGCTAATAATAAGATACAAGGGAGATGATTTCTCTATACTCTTTAGTGATCAAGTCATTGAATTTGCACAGTACATTATTCATTTTCTTTTGTTGTTTATAGTTATTTTACTTTGTGATGCATAGTGCCAATAATTATTACCCTCTATGTTACAGTTGGAGGGAAAAATTCCACATTTATCTTATTATTTTATTTTAACTCAAATTTAAATCCTATTTAATGTCAAATTTTAAAGTTATTTGAATTTTGATTGGATAATTTGTCTAACAAATAATCGATAACTTTGAAATCTCATTTAAAATCAAGATAAATTTACATTTAATTTGGAATAAAATCTCTCTCCTCTTGCTTGTGAAATTCGGCTACCATTGTGCATGACATAGTGTGTGGTGCCAACTTGCAGTCTAGGTGGAGGGAAAAATTCCACCTTTATCTTTTTGTTTTATTTTATCTCAAATTCAAATCTCATTTAATGTCAAATTTTAAAGTTATTTGAATTCTAATTAGATTGTCTAACAATTAATTGATAACTTGGGGAGTACGTAACTGAATTTCAGAGGAATTCCTCTATGCTTTAGGTGTGACAAATATTGTCTCACATTGTACGCATTTTAGAGTTATTTATTTAAATAATCACATTATTTGAATTTCAATTAATTCGCAATTAATTCTATTGAGTGAAATAAAATTCCTGAAACTCATCTTATCTCCCAGTTGTTACAAGGATGACGTAAAGATTTATAGACCTATAATTTCAAACTCCAATCAATTTAATAATCAATTAACGTTTTTATCAATTAATTTTATTAATTCTAAAAGTTACTCCATTATAAACTTGTAATTGCACTGAAATTATAGACATATAATTACTTCTAAGAATGTGAACTGTTTATTTGATACAGTCATTACATAAAGTTCCATCATTCATAAATAATTTATAATTAGAGCTTGGTAGAATTCGTTAATGTGATGATCCTGCTGAGTTGTAATGACTGAGAAAATCTCAGACTTTAAATAATACAATTTATGTATTTAAGCCAAAGATTTTTTTAGAAAATATTATGCTATATTTTTGTAACTGAAGGATTTATGGAATTAACATCTGTATTCCTAAATTCTATAGCAGATTTCATTCTAAGTGCATATTTTAAGATCAAGTAAATTCGATCGATAAATTATCGCCGTACTTTAAGGCGGAAGAATTTTCAGTACATATGTAGTTTGAGAATCTTAATTTTAAGAATCTCTAAGCACAACATGATGTTAGCAGTGTATAAAAAAAATGCTCTGATACTTTAAAAGAAGAGAAAATCTTTAATTGCCAGATAGCTAGGTTAAAGTCACAAGATAAATACCTATAGTAGAAAGGTACAATGTGAGCTCGGGAGTTGACATCGTCAGAAACAATGTCATTCTCGGGATATAATGCAAAAATTTAAGTTTAGAATTTGTTTAGTCTGGAATAAATTTCAAAACTTGAAACAGTTCGAAATATTACGCGAGTAAAAATATAAAACGATATTGAATTATTCAGAAATTAATATTGGACTCTAAGTAGTAGATTAACTTACGTGAGCTAAACTAATTACCTCGAGTTTCTCTCTCTCTAGGCTGTCGTGGATGTCACCGCCCCCACCAATCAACATAGAAGCTGACGCCAAGTAGATCCCGACCAGCAGCCGCCGTCGCCGTTTGGCCGAAAAACGGAGCCACTGCCGTCATTCGTGGAGGTAAGAGGTGGTCCCAATGATCTAACCGTTGGATCATCGCTACTTTGGGGTCAAAACACTCAAAGAGAAATGGGTAAGAAAACCCCTCAACCAATTTTAAGATTCCTGACCGGAAATGTGAGATTTGAGTCGCTGGATTTTACCAACGTTGCCGGTCCCGATATGTATTGTTACAGGCCGATTGACCACACCATTGGACTCAGAAGGGTCAATTTAGAGGGGGTATGACCCAAGTCCGCCGTGGAAAAACTCTCCGGGAGCCTCCGCCGCCGCCGCCGCAACCGTATTTCGGCGAGGTGTCGTTTCTCAGGCTATCGACATCCGTTTGATGATCCGAGACCATATCCCGACTCGTTTCGACGTGCTGAACAAAATGGTGACGTCCGTTTGACAAAAATCAATTCTGATAAGAATGGTCTGGTACTGATTGCACGCGGATCGAGGTGATTCAGACTGAACAAGTGAAGATCATAATTGAGTGTTTAATGCTACGATGTTCCTCAACGATCATTCATAGTGCTTGCAGTTTTCCCATAATTAGTTTTGAGGAATACGCAGGAGGACACGACAAGCGAGATATATCAGAACCGCTTAGCTCGGAATCCAGGCAAGTACAAACCTTGCTAACAGTTTAATTAAGATAGTCATATAAGGCGTATGATTTTCTCGAACTATGTTAATTATGAGATTCACGAATTATGTTTATGTTTATGTTAAACGTCGTATATAGTTTTTCAATAAAACTTAAACGGTTTTCAAATAAGCGTATAAGCGAAAATCGTAAAGAAACGATACGCTAGACCCTTAATTTTACGATGTTAAATACATACCTCAACACTATTATGAGCCCGTCAAGTGAGGTAAAGTAAAATTTATTAAAAGTGTATTATGGATGATAATTTAATTAATTATTAAACTAATTAATTAAATTATCTAAGACTTATAATATGGTTAAGGAAGTTAATTAATTTGGTGAAGGAAGTTAATTAATTACTAAGATTAATTAACTAACTTATGTAGACTTAATATATGAATAAGAGGGTATATTAATTACTAAAATTAGTTAACTAAATTATTAGACTTATTATAAGGATAAGATAATTAATTAATTATCAATTTAGCACAAATTTTTCTACAAATCAATACACATTCTTCTTATGAAAATTGATTCACTGACCAAGATTAGTCAACTTTTTATTCTCTCATAAATTTACAATTAACTGGTGCTACAATGTCGTGATATAAATATGAGAGTGTTCTTTATTTTATTATACTTTTAAGAATTCAGTTTAAAAACCTCTCTGGTACATTGCACTTAGATACAATAGTTTTCTACAAAATTGTTCTTCTTAAGAAACATTTGCAAGCCCAATTCGAAAATTTATTTTGGATTGTTTCTGTTCAGCTCATACTTCTCTTTCTGGAATTGTGCGAAAGGAGCCTGAAACATTGCTCATGAACAAGGCAGGGGATTTTTCTGTTCTTTTCAGTAAATGTGTGGGGTTTCGAAATTAATTATTTTCAGTTTGATGTTGTCATGAATATGAACTCCTATTTTTCTTTTATTTTGGTGTGTATTGCTAATAATGAGAGACAAGGCAGAGGATTTCTCTATACTCTTTAGTGATCAAGTCATTGAATTTGCACAGTACATTATTCATTTTCTTTTGTTGTTTATAGTTATTTTACTTTGTGATGCATAGTGCCATGTCGTCGTTTTCATATTAACAAAAATGCTTTTATGATTTTTTTTTTTTTTTTTTTTTGTCATCAGTGTCTGTAATATACTCTGATGTTGCGGAGGAGAAAAGAAATTTGTATTATTGGTAAAGCCAATGAGAACCTCTTGATTGAATTCATGCTTTAGAAGGTTTCAGAGCTCATTCTCTGTCCATCAATAATAATGAGCATAATTAAGTGAGAGGAAAAAAGAAAAAAAAACTTCATAATGGCAGTTCCATTCACTTTTGTAAGGAAAAACCAAAACAGAACGGAAAATTTTGAGAATTTGTCCTTAATAAGAATGCCAAAGATTTATACATCAAAGATGTAGGGGCATGATATGAATGATTTCTGGTGTGAAGAAAAATGTTTAAATGACAAGAATAAGGTCTATGATACATGTTTCATATCAAAATAGCTGTACACTTTTCAAATTAATTCAACTGACAGCTCAGTCTCTATTATATTACCGAAAATGAAAAAAGATATGATAACCAAAAAAAAAAAAAAATTTAAACAGCTCCATTTAAAGTAAAGAGATCTAAAAATGAAAAGTTGAAATGAAGTCTTCCAGTTATCTTGTATAATTGTTGATGAAATGTTAACATGCACCTTATAGTTGTCTTCAACATCTGTATGTTAAAAAGTGTCATTGGTAATGTTTCCGAAAGAAAAGGAGAATATATATATATATAT